AAAAGGATCTTTGCACTATGAGACACATTTTTTTATTTTCTACACCTTATGATACTTTCCTAGATTTCAGATTTGAGGAATTGTAATGTTGAGTGCTGGATACTCCTCTAAGTATGGATGAGCCTTGCTCTAAGTTATGGCAAAGCCTTTTGGAAATATTTTGATCCTTTCAATGCTTAATTTCAGCTTTCTCATGTTGGACTAGATAAACTACACTAAGGCTCATTGGCCTCTATCACCGAGGCAGTCTCCTTCAGAGCACTCAGCCTGATGCCTTGGATATTATGAGGGTTGTTTTTCTGCCTCAGTACTGAGAAATTAAGCACCTCAGAACCTTGTGAGAGCCCTAGAAATTTCTTCCCTACTTCTTCTGAAGGGTTCTTCTCCCAGCCTTGTACAGATTCTTCATGTGATTGTGATCAATATACAGCCAAAGTCTTGTGGGGAACATATTACAGATACATCTCCAGAGCTTTCTTTTGGGCCACCCTTACATCCTGGGTTCTTAAAACCTGTGTCTTCAACTCGGGGATGTGTAGGTTCATCCTGGGCTTCGTGGAAACTCTCTCTAGGTTACACAGGAGAACAACTGCACAACTACCACCTCCCCAAGGATCACAATCTTGTACAGCATGTTTTCCAAATGTCTGACAACCATTCTTTCATGCATTTTGCACATTTTTAAGCTAGCTTGAGGTAAAAGGGCTAAATGCAGTTCCTGTTACTATTCTACAGCTAGAAGCAGAGTGTAGCTCTCCATTTTTTTCAAATATTTTGTTTAGACTTGGTTTTGGATTTCTAGTAATAACAGATTAAAAAGTAAGAATTCTGAGTCATAAACTGATAGGACTCTTAAAGATGACCTTGGATACTCCTCTCCACTCATCTCCCCTAGGGTTTCATTTGATGGATTACAGAACAGAGATCAAGAAATGCAGACTCTTTCCAAAGTCACATTGCAAGCTAAACACAAAAATAAGACAAAAATCAAGCCTTCTACTCATTAGTTTTAATTCCTACAGTGATTTTTCTACTCATTTTCTCTTACAACACTGTTTATTTGGATAGATTATAGCTTTGAAATCCAAACTTCATGCTTCCCCAGGCTACAGAATTATTAGCTCCCACCTGGATGCTATTTCATTTTGATTGAGTTTTGCAGACACAACTCCTAGGGGTTGGCTGAAAGTAAATGCTACCAGAATTAACTAAAAGCATTGAAAAATTAAAACACATCCATGGCAGTCACTCCAGGACAAAACTATATATATTCCCCCCATTGGTTTATTGTGAACTTCCTAAGTAGGGAGGCATGTGACTTCGAACTTAGATTGGTTCTCTACAAAAATACCACTTTTTTCATAATTGCATGTGTGCTCCCACTAGTCCAGTAACTCCTAGTGCCTTTTCACCTGAACTCAGAAAAACGGCTTGGCTAAGTCTCCAGAAAGCCTGCTGTCTTAGCCCTCTTTAAAGCAGTCTAGGAAACGCTGGTTTCAAAGTCAACTAGAACAGGTTTTAACAATTATCTTCAAAACTTACTGTATCACTTGATACAGTAAGGGTCATGCTGGCATTTTAGTACATCATCATTATAATTAATTATAATCACATTATATAATTAACTACTAATCTCGCCTTATAGCACCTTTCAAAGAGTACATAACTTCACATTTTTTCTCTTTTTTAGATTTAGTTTATCTTTGTTCTATGTGTATAATGTTCTGCCTGCACATGTGTCTGTACACCACGTGCATGCAGCACCCTCAGAGAACAGAAGAGGGCATCACATCCCATTGAAACTGTTACGTGGGTGCTGGGAATCAAACTCATATCCTCTGGAAGAGCAGTCAGTGATCTTATTCATTGAACAATCTCTCCAGCCTCTTTTTTCCCCTTTAATGGTATATAAGTTATTGTGGCATTTAAAACTACAGTATTAATCCCTAACAGCAGAATTTCTTCAGTGTTTAAATACAACAAAGTAAGTACAGTGCCTGGTACAGGGTAGGCATTCATAGACCTCTTGGTAATTATTATTGTTGTTGTTGTCACCATCATCATCATCATCACCACCAACAACAACAATGATAAGAAGCAATACCTGGTCAGTTCTTAAGCCTCCCAACTTGCCTCTTCTGGTTGTCAGTACACAGTTGGTGCTGCTTGTCTGGCAAGTTGGAGACTATCATGCTGCTCACCAGGGTCACAACTTGTCACTGTAGTTCAGCCCTAGGGATTTCTTGCTAGTAGGATTTGCCCTCGACTCTTATAAATACCATTATGTCAATATAGTTGTTGCTACTATTGAAAATGGGTTCTGTGATTTCTTGAGTCATCTTTCCAAACTCTTTCTACTTCCTTTCAAATACCCTCCCCATAATCTGAGGAAGCATTCTAGTTGTAGTGATCTTTATGCCATCACAATCAGAGCTGCCAAGGCTGAAAATCAAATCTGCTTTCCTCAGTACACTTCCAGTTCCCCGTGTTAGGGAACTGATACTTGTATGTCTTTGAAATTCAAGGATACCAAGTCTGCTCAGGTGTGAAGAGGAAGGAGTCACCTGATGGTGAAGTGCCTGCCTACAGCTCCCCATACAGAAAAACGGCCTGCATTTCTCTCCAGCTTTTCCCTGCTTTTGTTAGTAAGTGATGCAGACAAGACAGGCTGCTTGCATTGCAAGGCCCTACCCCTCCCAGAATTCTCCCACAACACACACACACACACACACACACACACACACACACACACACACACACCATCCCAACAGCCCTTACTGTGCCCCTCAATATAGCTGTAGACTACATGAGCTGGTCTTGGAACACCAACATTTGACATGTAAGCAGAGGTTAGCTCTCTGTTTATTTCAGGTTCTCAGAAATCTAGGACACACTGGAGAACCCCAGTAAACAGCAAGAAAGGTCAGGAAAGAATGGACTTTGTCTCTGGCCATTTGGAGCAAGCGGCTTGACTGCTTCCCAAGCAATTGTAAAATAATCGAATCTGAACCAACTGATGCTTGACAGTGCATGCCACCCAGGGTTCTGCACCATGGCCAGTGTGAGGCCGGGAATTAATCACAGTGAGTGATTATCATAGAAACTGTCTCCAGGAAAAACGACCAGGTTTTCCACCATTCAACCTTGGGGAGATAAAATCAGGCTTAGAAGAAAAAGACAAATGATCTAAGAGCAAAAGCAGAACTTGAAATCCAAAAAGCACCCTGACTATGCACTAGCCTTATCTCTCTGTTCCAGAGGCAGGTGATAGGAAGAAAAGAGAATTCCTAATACCTGCTGGCCCTTGTTTTTCTGGATGCTAATTTCTTCTTTCTTGAAGAGTCTGCTAGACCCTTCTGTGTGGCCTATTGAACCCTTCTTGTACTTCCTATGGCAGTATCCTTTCTGGCCTTTCTCCATCCAGTGTCCCATCTGCCCCTACACAAGCAGTGCTTCTGCGAGAGCATGGAAAAGCAGAAATCTCATCACGTTGTCCTACTTTTTAAAAAAACCAATGAACAAGAATGGTTTAGCATGTCAGTATTCATGTTGAGTGAGAAGAACATAATGGCTTATTTAATTATTCTCAATATATTTATGTATCCTCTAAATTACTCATAATAACACAGATCTTCAACAGCTCTTCAGGGATGTCAAGTTAAAGCCCAAAGTCCCCAGGTTTGCCTTCAAGATCTCTCAGGCTGTCTATAAAATACCATAGCACACAGCCTTCTGTATTACCCAACTTTGGCATGCTGCCCTATCTTGGACTTCTTTGTAACAGAGAATCTGCCTCCTCTCCTGTCTACAAAGTGTTGCTTCCTCTCTTGGAAGCAGTCAAATGAAAATGATACATGATTCATCAAAGACACCTTCCCAAATTCTCCCCCATCCTAAGGAGGTAGGGATAGGGGAGGGTCTTCCTCTGGACTGATATGCATATATGTTGAAAACATTTTCAAGAGCGCAGATTCTTTTGTTAATCAAATAGGTGCGATATTTACTTGAACTTGGGCAAATCGAGTAATCTATCTTGGCTTCTGCTCCGTTTCTAGGAAATGAAAGTAATAGCAGTACTTGTCTCCAGTTCTGCTTTGTCCTCTAGGAAAACAAAGGAAGATGGTATAGGAGAGATGGGAGAGGAAAAAGGAGAGGGGAGAGGGGGACAGAGAGAGGGAGAGCAGAAGGAAAGGAGATAGAGGCAAGGAGGGAGAGAGATGGCAAGAGGGAAAGAAAGAGAGCAAGAGAGAGCGACAGAGAGAGAGAGAGCAAGAGAGAGCGACAGAGAGAGCAAGAGAGAGCAACAGAGAGAGAGAGCAAGAGAGAGCAACAGAGAGAGAGCAAGAGAGAGCGACAGAGAGAGAGAGAGAGAGAGAGAGAGAGAGAGAGAGAGAGAGAGAGAGAGAGAGAGAGAGAGAGAGAGAGACTGGAGAGCAGACTTTAAGCAAATAATGTGGATAAATAATTACCCAACTTGTCTAAGATGAAACGGTGAAATGGTCCTGAAACCTACAGGTAAGACGCTGCTGTTTATGGGAGCAAGGGAAAAATTATTGACATCAAAGCTGCGATTCCTCTCTGGGAACTGAGGACAGTTCGTATTTGGAAGGAGGTCTCCAGAAGTCAAGGCCAGAGTCTCCCACTGGCTCTTTATAAAGACCCTGAAAGTAAGTCAGTGGCAGTGATCCTGCCCAAAATCCAGGGGCTAAGGACTAGGAGCTAGGGTTTGCTTGAGAATTCGCTCTGGTGACAGCTCCAATCTGTGAGCCTCAGAGTGCTTGTGACTGGATGCAGGGTGACAAAATCTGTGTGGGTCCATTGCGAGTCATCCCCCCTCCTTCCTTCCCTCCCCACTGCTGCTGCCACCAGCCCAGCTCCTCTGGGTTCGGTGGCCTAGTGCGTCACCGGCGCGGGCGGGGACAGAGAGGAGGGGGGGCGCCGCAAGGTGAGGGCACCGCGCTGCTTTAAGAAGCCTCGCGCCCCCGCCACAGCTCAGAGCTTGTGGCGCTGCGCGCTGGCCGGACGTGCGGGCACAAACTCAGTGCCCCGCTCCCGCTGCGCCCGCTGCTCCTCCACTCGGTCGAGCTCACAGCTGTCTGTGCCCCGAAAGGTGGCCAGACTAGCGCGGCGAGCCCCGAGGGATCGGTCCTCAGCTCCTGCTGCGCAACGCCTTCAACAGCAACAGGTAAGCTGCAGAGCTCTGCTCCGGTCGCCGCGGGTCCCCCAGCCCAACCGGTCCCCTAGCCCAAGTGCTGAGACACCCCTTAGCCAAGGTTAGAAGGTTACTGAGGCCGCCCAGGGGGTCAGCAAAGGCTCTCCAGGAGCCCTTGCATATCCCGAGCACTTTCTCTCCTGCATCCTCTCTCTTTCTCTCTCCCTAATTTTCTTGTTTCCTCCCTGCGTCCTCTGCTTCTCTATCTCTGTTTAAAATTCTGCTTAACTTGGTCTTTCTCCTACTGCCCCTGTCTCCTACTGCCCCCCTGCTCTCTCGTTATTCATCTTTTTTCTCTCTCTCCCACTCTTAGGCTCCTATTTGTTATTTCTTGATTCTCCTTCCAAACCGCTCTCTCACTTTCTCTGTCTCTCATTTCCCTTCTGCCTCTCTGTACCTTTCCGAGTATCTCATGCTGTCCCTCTCAGACGCCCACCCCCATCCTAGCGTACCCCCTGACTCCTTCTCCACTCTTCTCAGCTCCTTCCGCTCACCCCCACCCTTCCACCATACAGACTCCTAGCCGGCTGGAGAATATAGGGAGAATGGCGAATTTGGGGACATAAGGCAGTGTAGTGGGTATCCCCCTTGCACGCTCCAGTCACCACTGCGCTATTGAGAAGCTATGCATTCCATCCAATAAAGCCCTGGCGGCCAGGGGGAGCAGCTGGTTTCCATGGAAAGACAAAGTGGGCAAAGAGGTACAAGAGACAAAGATTCAGCTACAGGAAAACTAAGGTGGGGGGGTGCTCTCAGAGAAGGATGCTGGGTGATAATGTTGTATGCATATTCAAAGAGGCAGAGAGAGATTGGCAATGGTACTAGGATGGTGGGAATGAGAAGCAGGGATGAACTAGAGTACACATCTAGAGACATCACTTGAGAAACAGAGACACCAGAGTGTTAGGGGCCAAGAAGAAAGACAGACAGGTGAGACAAGACATACAATGTAGGTCCTTAGAAAAACAGTAAAGGAAGACAGGAAGAGATACAGAGAATTGTGAGAAAGAGCAGGCACACAGGTGCTTGGTGAGACTTGAGACACAAATCTGAGAGAGACACAGACAAGACAGTCAGAGACAACACACAGGCGTGTTAGGAGCCCAAAGGGACAGTTAGGGAAATCCATTGAGAGAGGAAGAAAGACCCAAGGAGAAGAGGAACATACAGAGCTACAGAGTGAGTTCACTCGTGAAAAAACACGCAGAGACTGAGACAGAGAACTGAGAGTGGGGGCGGGGGGGGGAGACAGCATTATCAGACAGAGGACAGTGACAGCCAGACATAGGCAGACTATGTACATGCTAGTGGGAAACTGAAAAAAAAAAGACTACAGAGTGAAGGATGAGACAGTGTCTGTGGAAATAGAGGAAAAGTACCCCCAGTAAAACACTGGAGACAGAAATCTAGACTCCTAAGCAGGCAGGTACAGAGTGTAAGTGCATACGTCATCGAGATAGAACAAATCTCCAAGAGACACGGAGGAGACAGGCTGAGGGAGTGCCCACTGCACCAGCAGGATGGACAAGCAAGAGGAAGAGAATGCAAGACAGACTGCCAGCGAGAGCCCAAGAGTTAGAAAAGGAGCCAGAGCAACTGCTCTGATTGGGGTTGAGATTGAGCAGGGGTCTAAGGGAGTAGGGGTCCTGTATCCATGCTGCTGGGCTCAGAGGCTTGTCTCTGCAAGGCACTAACCCTGCCCACATGTTTCTCTCTCCCGTCAGTATAGTGTGCAGTGTGCACATCTCTTTGCCCACTGGTGCAGACACTGAGCTGCACCTTGCCTGCCTCCCATCACCATGACATCCACCTGCATCAACAACACTCGAGAGAACAACAGCAGCCAAGCGTGCATGCCCCTCTCCAAGATGCCTATTAGTCTAGCTCATGGCATCATCCGAGCCACTGTGCTGTTCGCCTTCCTCAGTGTATCCTTTGTGGGCAACGTAGTGCTGGGTTATGTATTGCACCGTAAGCCACAGTTGCTGCAGGTGACCAACCGGTTCATCTTCAACCTCCTCGTCACTGACCTGCTGCAGATTACTCTCGTGGCCCCCTGGGTGATGGCCACCTCCATTCCTATCTTTTGGCCTCTCAATATCCACTTCTGCACAGCCCTAGTTAGCCTCACCCACTTATTTGCTTTTGCTAGTGTCAATACCATTGTGGTGGTGTCGATAGATCGCTATCTGTGCATCATCCACCCTCTTTCCTACCCATCCAAGATGACCAGCCGACGTGGTTATGCACTCCTCTATGGCACCTGGATTTTGGCTGTCCTGCAGAGCACACCTCCTCTCTATGGCTGGGGCCAGGCTGCTTTTGATGATCGTAATGCTCTCTGTTCCATGATCTGGGGAGCCAGCCCCAGCTATACCATTGTCAGTGTGGTGTCGTTCATTGTTGTTCCACTGGTTGTTATGATTGCCTGCTACTCTGTAGTGTTTGGTGCAGCCCGTCGGCAGCATGCTCTGCTGTACAATGTCAGGAGCCGCAGCTTAGGGGTGATAGCCAAGGACTCTGTAAAGACTGAGAATGGGCAGAGAATAAAGAAGAGGGATGAGTGCCAGGATGAGAATGAGTTGCAGTACGAAGATGAAAGTCAGGCCAAGACCATGGAAAGCGGCATCCAGGTGGAAGAGGATCCCATTGAAGCCATCATCAGGAAGGCCAGAGGAAGAAGCCTAGATTTTAGGGCAGGTATTTCTGAGTCCAAAGGCAGTGAAGATGACAGTAATGGCAGCATGGATGGTCTGGAAGTCAGCAGCGAAGGGCAGGTGAGCAGCACAGAGGTCAATCAGTGCAACATCGACTTGGGTGAAGATGACATAGAGGATGGCATGGATGACATCCATTTCAGTGAGGACGATGTCGAGGCAGTGAACATCCCCATGACCCGCTCACGGAGTCGTCGAAACAGCAGCAGCAACCCACCTTTGCCCAGGTGCTATGAGTGCAAAGCTGCCAGAGTGATCTTCCTCATCATTTTCTCCTATGTGCTGTCTCTGGGGCCCTACTGCTTTCTAGCTGTGCTGGCTGTGTGGGTGGATGTGGAAACCCAGGTGCCCCAGTGGGTGATCACCATAATCATCTGGCTTTTCTTCCTGCAGTGCTGCATTCACCCTTACATCTATGGTTACATGCACAAGACCATCAAGAAAGAAATCCGGGAGGTACTGAAGAAGTTGTTCTGTATGAAAAAGTCCTCTGTAGAAGACAGCCACCCCAACCTGCATGACACCGAAGCTGGCACAGATGGAGGGTCTGAAGGCAGGGTTGTCCCCTTCCATGATTCTGCCACTTCACCTTAAAGTTAGTTCTAAAGCACACTTCTAACTGTCCATACAACAAAACAAGAGCAGCTTCTTTCAGTGCACCACCCACAATCTCATTAGTGCCGCTCCTCACCATTTCAGGCAAAGGTGTTGCACATGCGTCCCTTCCCACCACAAGGCAGATAATGTAAGGAAAAAGTAGAGACTTGGATCTTTTCTGAAAGGTAAAGCCCATCAAAGAATGGACCTGAGGATTCCTACCAAATATATATACATATATTAGGCTCCAAATTTCCTAAAACAAGGGCTATCTGGTTTGGAACTGTTCTTGGTGTTTTGCCTGCCTCCCCAAAGCTACAACATGGCAGCTTTAGCTCTGAGTAAAAGGGAAAGTGATGCCTGTGAACATAAGAACTCTTTGGCCTTCAGGTCAGGAACTCATGGGCTGGGGCTATAGACTGTGTTCAACTGAAAGAAAAGCAACTGACCAAATAACTTTTGGAGCCCCCAAAGCAGAGCAAGGTGGACTGATCATCGTATGAGTCTGTACTGAAGAGCCCCACCATATGGTGCAAAGGCTATAATGCAAACTTCGACAAAGGGGAACCACACAGTTAGACTATATATAAAGCTTCTAGGTTCTCTAAAGGAATAGAAAAAAGGGCATACACGAAATGGGGAGCTAGTTCAAAGGAAGACATGGAGAAATAAGACGTATCCATGGAGCTAAACAATCGTGTTTCTTTATCTTTCCCTCTCCTCTCTTTCTCCATCCTCCCCCACCCTGGGTTTCCACATGGGCTAGGACTGACCTCTGCGCAAATGGAAAATTGTCAATTGACACAATCATTTTCTGTTTCCTATTTGAGTAACAACAGGAAAGAAATGTCCAGTTCATTTATATTTTATCTCTTCCTCCTCACAGATTCCAGCATGAGCTTCTCAAGGGGGAGAGGTAAACGACTGTGATAATCTCAGACAAGGCATGGTATCTAAAGTTAACCCTCACATCACCCTTTATTTTTCCATCAACATTGATATAGCAAATTAATCATCAAAAACTGATTATACTGATTTATTGCTGAAGTTATGTTGGCCCATCCTTAAGAGATACCTGGGTGAATCGGTTTATTTGATGAGTTTCCTTGAGGGGGCAGGGGTATTGCCTTACAGGTTTGAAACGGATGCGTTCAAAAGTGGCGATGCCTATCCTATTAGTAGAAATGCTTATATACTTACATGGAAAACAGAATTTCAAATGTGTTCCCAACATTTTGTTGAAACTGAACTTCTTATTTTATTTTTAAAGCTCAACCCCTTCAAAGTGTAACAAAGAAAATTGTTTGCCAAAATTCAAAATCCAAATGGAACCAGAACCTGTCCAAGTGTGGTAAGTTCATTCAACAACACACACAACATTTTCCAGGGTGTGGAGACTCACCTGCTCCTAGCATAGTCCAACTTTCCCTCTTTTATTCACTGTCCATTCTTGGGCAAATTGGATCTTTTAAAGATGATGATCTTTTGAAAACAGGATGGAAAGGACAGCCCTTCAATTAAAGGCATTCTGTCTTGATGACAGTTTCTTTTAATGAACAATAGGGCTTCTAGATAGCATGGAGACAGCAACTGCTTCAAGTTTGGTGCTGTTTGAATGAAGAGTTTTTACTACACACACTGTTTTGCCATTTAAAATATGAAATCACTCAAAAAGTCATCATTACCCTCACAGATCATCATGTACAGTCACTTTCCCAAAATGTTTTAAAGGGTGTATTCTTTTATCAAATCATCATATATGTGCAGTAAAAAAGAGATTCCATTAGATTATGGGGTCCAGGAAAGCCAGACTTTGAAATTAAGTGTTTTAAATTTAATAATTTTCTTATGTAAGAATAATAGAGGAGTCACGGGTGCTTTCACATACCAATTTAAGCAAGTTTTAGAAGGCAGTAATAAAGAGAAAGCATTGGATTTCTGTGACATCTGTGATGTGAGAAATCTTTCCTGAGATATTGCAAACATTAGCCATTAAAAACTTCCATATCCCTGCCTAACTCTTGCTACCATGCCCCCTGCCCTTGCCTGACTCACTCCACTTCCCCCTGCCGTTTGGGCCCTTCTAGAAGAGCCCACGCTTGAAGATGTATACTCATCCACTCCTCATCCATCCTTTCTAAACCTAGATTCATAGGAACCTGGGGTCCATGGATGAAGCAAGGAAAGAAAATCATAGGCATGATCAGAAATTAAAGGTATTTTTCTGTCACCTGTCCAACTCCAATATGATTTAGAAGTGATGAGCTATCTACTTCAAATCCAGCTGGTGAGGAATGATGTAATTTTAGGGTTTACAAGAAAGTAGGCACCTCATTTCTTAACAATAAAACCACCAAGAATATTTTGAAAGCACATTCAGTATTGTAAATACTGCCCAATTATTTCAGCAAAGCTAAGGCTGCAAGCTAAGGGCCAAGCTAAGAATTCTGGTCAGTCAGGGCTTTAAACACTCTCCCTGCTTAACTATGTCTCCATTTTTTTTTATTCCTCTGGGTCCCTGAAGGCCCCAAACCACTCCAAAGCTTAAGCAGGAGGAGGCAGAAGCATGATCTGGAAACAACAGACTAGAGCCTAAAGCCCTGGAAGAACAGACATCTTTCCAATTAAATAAGATATCTTCCTCTATGTAAAATGTTTAACATGGGCATTAGCACACTTGGGCTATAAGCAGCAAAATTGGTTAGAGGAAGAAATAGGAGAACTCAAATATGCTGAACTTGGCTACTGCCAGATCACTGGCAAGTTCACAGCTTTTTGGCAAGTAGGGTAAGAATCCTCAAGGAGCATGAAGTTTGACCATAGGAGTTAGGTTTCCATCATTGCCTCCCAAAGCGTCCATATCTTAATAGTATACACACTAAGGGGAAACCACAGCAACTTGTACATGTAAGGAGGTTTTCTGTGTGAAGATTAATTGCTGTATCTCTTTTGCTTTAAAAGAGACAAAAAAAAAACAAGATTGATTTTAGTTCGGTGCTTCAAACTTGAGTGGATTTCCCGTCTTCATCTGTTACAACTTCGCTGAAAATTGGTACTTTTCTCTTGTGTCAGTGCTGTGTTCTCTTGTGGTATTTCTTCTAAATGTAAGCTCTAACTGTATATAAAATGTGTTATTGGAGATAAGGTGCTAGATAGTAGATTGTATGTGTTCATAGCTAGTGTCATCAGTAAAAAGTGAGTGATGTGTACATGTAAAATTAGTTAACAAAATGCATGCAGTACTCTATATGTGACCCACAATTTTAGAAGTAGAACATAGTACATATATTTACCTTTAAAAGTGTATACTACAGGATATGTAAGACGGCTCCAAGGTGGTGTGGCATACAGAGGTGCCCTTCATTCCTTAAATCCCTGGTAGGTGACAAACAAGAACTTATTCTGGTATAACTGGTAATCAATGTGAACTAACTTATCGTCTTGGCTGAAGTCCTTGCTGGCAGTTATCCACACTACACCTGGCACTGGTTATACCTGTTGTCTTCGATGTGTAGAGTGAAAATCAGAGAAGACAGTCCTTTCCCCATACAAGAGCAAGAACCCCAGGACAGGCTATTGGAGTCCTGATAGCAGGATGAAAAAGAACACTGAAGTTTCAAGACCTAAACAGGAGCCAGTACCTGATTGGGACGTTATTGGACTTGCATCTAGCTGATTCATATTGTGACCATCCCTGCCCTCCTAGAGAAGTGCCAAAACCCAGAAAAAGGCTGCTCTGGTTTTTTTCCCCTTTGGTTGTCTCACACAAGATGCAGTATTGATAAAGAGACAGTGAGAATTCTCGGGGTTGGGGGGGTGGAGGGTAGGGGTTGCAGCTCAGGTGTTTGAAGAGTTACAGTTATAGATCAAATATATTTGCAAAAGAAATCAGATTATTTTATTATATTTTGAGAACAAAAGCATTACAAGAGGATATATATAAATATATATGTACTCATTAAATCATTCTAAAACTGCCTTTACTAGCAAATTTCATGTGCTATTTTGAGACTGAGAACAATAGGAAAACTGCACTCAGTCAATAAAACAGTTCTCTTTAATACTTTCCATTTTAAATTTAAACATTTCCTTTAAAAAAAGGTTTGTAATTTAAAAGTGCCTTTTCAAAGGATTTTCAAAACTACAGTCCTGGGGCCAAGTTCCCATTGGCACAACTTACCTTCAGGTGCACAAATGGGGTGGAATTTATTGTCCACCTTTCAGCAAGAAGAGAAATCCCCTCACATTCCAATCAAATTTATGAATTGATACTGTTACATGGGTCAGTAGTCCCAGAGACGCTGCCCAAAGTCAAAGTTTCATATATTGGATGCTTTAATTGAATGCTTTCTAAACTGGTTACGATGCATTTATTACTGGACAGGAATAACAGACTCCTGCTTGGGGAATGCAGAGAGGTTAACATTGTGATTTAACTATTATTAACTAATGTTTGTGTTTCTTAAATAGGTGCTGTTAATCTGTCCTTGGTATATTCTTCTGAAACATCCTAAATAAAGTCTGATTTTATGTGTGTATCTGGTTCCTATATTGTGCTCTATGGTAACACAGGGAGACACATGACATTCCACGCCTCCTCTTTGTGGAGACAAAATAAGAAACTCACAGTATCAAGTGCCCTCCATGGGCAACTACTGCACTCATGTGCACACACATATCCTGTTTTCAAGATAAAAACAAAATTGAAGTAGTATGCAATAGTGTGGAGTAGTACTTATCAGAAAGGCTTTGTTGGGAGAGGCACATTAATTTGGTACTTCATGAATAAAGAAAAATTCAAAATGCAATGGGGTGAGCAGAGAGGAAACATGGATGGAGCTAGATGCCTAAGGTTCTCGAGTGTCAAGTTCCTTCTAAAGGCAATGAGGTTTGAACAGATGGGGGATTTTTAATGTAAAAACATATGTGTTCGAGTGCTCTGCCTGCATGTCTGTGTGCTATGTGTGTGTGGTGCCCTGAGAGGTCAGAAGAGTACATCAGACCCACTGGAACTGGAGTTTATGGGCAGGCATAACCTGACATATGGGTACAGGACCTCGCACTCAGGTCTTCTGCAAGAGCAACAAGTTCTCTTAACCACAGAGCCATCTCTCCAAGTGGAATTTCTTTAAAAAAAAAACCTGTACCTTGTCAGGACACACAACAGAGCCAACCCTGTTAGTGCAGATGTACTTGAACCAGCTCTGAAGCTCTGAAAATGTGAGCATAGGAGAACTGTCCCCATTATCCATCTGTCTTGGGGTGGGGTGGCATGGGCAGGGGAGAGCTGTCCCCCACACCCTACTTCGCTGCTCATCAACATCTGAGGCAGGTAGGAAAGCTGGCCTTGTGGTCATAGGAGTGGGAGAGCTGTCCCAGACACCCACCAGCTGCACCTCACCAGGACAGCACAATAGAACCATCCCTGTTAGGTCAGGTGTGGGTGAGCCAGCCCCAAAATTGTGAGCATGGGAGAGCTGTCCCCATTACCCATCTGTCTTGTGGTAGCATGGTCTGTGGGAGATAGGAGAGCTGGTCCTAAGGTCATCAGAGTGGGAGAGCTATCCTGACACCTACCAGCTGCAACAATCAGGAGATCAGGCCCTGCACCTCTCCAGGGCAGCACAATATAGCCGACCCTGTTAGCTCAGGTGTGGGTGAGCCAGCCCTGAAGTTGTGAGCACGGGAGAGCTATTCCCATTTCACATCTGGCGGACCAACCATACAGCTGCCTAGGCCCAGAACCAGGGTTATGACTTTGCCTGCCCTATCATGCACCCCATTTATGATCTGCTGGAGCACATGAAGGGACCTGACCCCCGACCCAAAGCTGCAGGATCTCCACAACACAGGGAAACAACAGGAAACCCAGGAGGAGCCCTAGTGAAGGCCCAGCATCAATAGTGTACCAGAAACCAGAGGCCTAGAACCAGACCAATGACTCTTTGCTATGAACATGTGCAAGTAAAGCTAAATGGACAAAGGGGTTTACATTGTGACCCACTGTGTCACAGTGCAGCTTCCATGACTAGATTTTTGATTGTTTTCCTTTTTCTCTTAAATTTTATTTGGAGGTGTGTAGGGGTGGAAGGCAGATGTGAAGGGATGAGGAAATGAATGGGATCAAGATACATGATTTAAAAGACACATTAAATAAATAAATGTTATAAATAAATAAACTAAATTACCCAATACCTCAGTCACCTCCACTACGCTCAAGCCCCTTTTTTCTTATTTCAGCTCAGAGAAATTCCTTCAGCACTTCTCAGTCTAACCTGGACTAATTCCTCACACTCATATTCAATTAAACCCCAATTCACAGGGGTCTATTATAGGACAGGAGAGCAAAAGCATGCGCGTCCAATCCGCAGCCTCATAAAGCAGTAATAACTCTGATGCAACCATCACATATGAAAAGAGTACACAGATAAGGTGGGTTAATATTTCTAATATTTAAGAACCCCTCATTTCTCTTGAGACAAAGTATTTGGCCTACAATTAGCGTCTCTCCTGTACTCCCATTAGTAGTGGTATAAGGAACTGCAGAGCTCATACTGCTGAAGTTATTTACTCATGAACCCCTCCAAGGAGCTCAGGATACTACTCAACCCCATTTCAATAAAATTAAAGAGCTCTTCTCCACTTAATTACAAAACCAAGCTAATACTGACTTACACACTTTCAAGATATTCAAAGATGGTTGTCATGAGACCTGCCTTTATCTTAATCTATGAACACCATTCAGGCAACAACACTGTTTTGCTTAAGGAATAAATTTTCCTTCCTAGAAAACTATCTTCAATGCAAAAATGGAAACCTATGTAAAACTATAAGGCTGCTAACCTGGTGGTAAAAGTGCTCCCTGAAGCTCAATATAACCCCATTTAGTTTAGACTATTTGGATAGTGAAATAAGTTCCAATGAGTTTCATAAAACAGAGTTTCCTCTTAGGCAGACCTAAGGCCTAGCCCTAGATTATGAGGAATCTGAATATGCCAGTCAGGAGACTTTTGTGGCCTCTGTGCCCACTCTAACAATTTTATAATAGACACAGGCTCATTTGCCATCAGCCACAGTGTAGACCCTTCTAATTTAGATAAAGGCAGGCTATGTTACCCAGTTAGTGACTTATTTTCTTCCAAGGGTCAACCAATCAACTTCAAATTGTCCTCTCATTCTCTCAGAATGAAACTCTCTCATGTATCCCTTCCCCATTCCAGTCTAGCCCCACTTCCCCTGAAAGGTAATGTGACCTCTTTGAGCCCTTGAGACAAGCACGCAAGAACAACTGTTAAACTTTAGAAGAGCTTGGGAATGTTCATAAATTGCAGGGTATGTGTGAATTTTTCAAATATTTTCATACTTTAGACATTTATCAATAAAATTTACCACATGAAATAGATAATTTCTGTGACTGCCCCCCAAAACTACAAATGAGTTTGAGAAATATTTGAGATACAAGTGTCCAATATTCAGAGTTAATAATCTATTGCTTAGTCAAAACCAGTCAATGCCTAAGGACTCAGTGGATAAAGGCCTTGCCACCAAGCCTGAGGACCTGGGTTTGATCCCTAGAATCCACATAGTGGAAGAAGAAAACTCAATCTCACAAGTTGTTCTCTGTCTTCCCCTTGTATGCCATGTCAAGCACATACCCCCACACACACACACATATACACATGCTCAAAAAATAAGTAAGATATAATAATAGTAGTACTAATAATAAGCCTGGACAACAGAGGCTGATGAGATGGCTTAGTCAATAAGGGCACCTGACAAAATCCCTGATGACATAAATTCAATCCCTGGAACCCACATGTTAGAAGAAGTTCACTGACTCCTGTGGTTGTCCTCTGTCCTCCACATATGCTCCATAACACTCATACACCCATCTCTCACATGAACAGAAAATTATAAAGGCAATTTTTAAAATCTTAACTCCAAAGTTTGTTATCTATATAAAACTAAATCAAAATTGGCTTCCAAAGGACAGTAAACAGAAATAGATTAACAAAATGTTTTTAAGTTAAAGGAGACAGACTACAAATAACTGGAAATGTGTAAGACTGAGCAATAAGACAGTAATATCCAATGTTTTTATAAATTCTGTTGTTTAACTACTGTACTGGCTAGTTTTATGTCAACTTGACACAAGCTAGAGTGATCAGAAAAGAGGAAGCCTCAAATGAGAGAATTCCTCCCACATGATCTGATATAGAAAAACCTGTAGGGCATTTTCTTAATTAGTGATTGATGGGGGAGGCACCAACCTATTATGGGCTTGTGGTCCTGGGAAGAAAGCAGGCTGAGCAAGCCATGAGAAGCAAGTCTGTAGCAGCACCCTTCCATGGCCTTTGCATCAAATCCTGCCTCCAGGTTCCTTCCCTGTTTGAGTTCCTGTCCTGACTTCTTTTGATAAGAAACTGTGATGTGGAAGTCGAAGCTGAATAAACCCTTTCCTCCACAACTTGCTTTTGGTTATGGTGTTCATTATAGCAACAGTAAGCCAAACAAAGACACATATTTTTTTAACAACCATGCAGGTATAAAAGTATAATATAGCTTATATCATCAACTTCAGATACAAAAACATCATTTTACCTAGAAGTTGTTGGATAGTGCCAATGAAACTATTTGTTCTGACAGAGAGACTAGGCACAGCATCAGGAAACACAATTGGGGAAAATAAACTTCATGTGAAAAAATCAATGTATATGAACTTTTAAAAATGTGCCTCCTTTGCTCTTGATTGTTTTAAATGAAATCATTTTATCTTTTCAAGAAACTATGACTGAGGATCAATATTTTTATTTTTATTTTTATTTTTTGGTTTTTACGAGACAGGGTTTCTCTGTATTGTTTCGGAGGCTATCGGTCCAGCCCGGCCTCGAACTCACAGAGATCCGCCTGCCTCTGCCTCCCAAGTGCTGGGATTAAAGGCATGCGCCACCACCGCCCGGCAAGGATCAATATTTTTAACAATCTATTTTCTTTCGCTAATGAGTATTGTGTGTCAAAGAAACTGAGGCTAGACACAGTGAGATTTTGCATTTATGAACATTTTATCTGAATGTAACTTAGAGCATACAAATATATGTATCTCAGCAGATATTTGCATAGATACAAAAAGCGAGGATCGTATGCTTTGGAACAGCTGGGGAAATTCATTAATCCACTTTTAGCACATTGTAGATAGTGTTAATAAAGTAGAAGCAAGAAAAAAATCCAATAGTTCCTGAAACAAAACATAAAAGATCTTTGTTACCCAGGTATCATAATAAGTCAAAGAAGCTTTCTTAAAAACACAAACATGGCTGCTTCAAGGCATACTACTGGATCTTTAAATTTCAAGATTTAGACATTATAAAATAAAAGTCATCAGGTTTATCTGTCATAGTGGCACACACCAGTATTCCCAAAATCTGGAATGCTAAAGAAGGAAAATCAAATTAATTCAAGGCCATCATAGACTACATAGTGAAACCCTGTATCAAAACATGATAAATCATCAGGCTCTTTTGCTAAGCAATCAGGGTAAGCAGCGAGGCCAGAAGCAGTCACCTATAAAAAAGCGAGAGAGTCCTTCTGATTGAATTCTGTAAGTCTATAACCAGAGCCAAAAATAAAACAAAAATGATCAACTTATGTTCTCCATTTCAAAGAGGCTCAAGGCTACTTTCTGATAGAAACTCTTGTAATTTGCTTCAGGGTTTAGAAAAGGTAAGTAACCAGTCTACGGAGATGGCTCGGTTGGCAAAGCATGCCACGCAAAAATGAGGAGCTGAGTTCAGATCACCAACACCCCCATAAATCCTGAATGTTATGATGCATGCCTATTATCCCACCATTGGGGAGACAGAAACATGTGGACTCTGGGAGTTCATCAGCCAACAAGTATGGCCAATTGGTTAGCCCCAAGTTCAGAGGGAGGAGGACTGAGAATTCAAGGTCACCTTGAACTAAATAGCAAGTTCTATGCCAAGCTGGGTACATAGTAAGACCCTGCCTCTGGAAACAAAACAAAGATAAATAAGGATTATGAAATACGGTAGAAATTTCCCAGTGTTGTCACAAATGCATATTTACAAAAGAGTTCTGAGAAGCTAGCTAAATAACACAGTTGGAAAGTCTACCATTCAATATTCAATATAAACAAACCTTTAAGGAGTCTTTCTCCAGTCAATGAGGAGATTAATATCCAAGACACTTTAATTACAGAACTTGAAACATGGAATTAAGACATGCAAGAAAAACAGAAACTGTAGGATTTCACAGTGAGGTAAAGGAAAATCCTATTTAGAAAAGAGAATTTGGGGAGCCCTAATTTCCTGCTACCACATTTGAGTCCATGTTTATGAAGCACTTTCTCTAGTCATGGAAATGCCCAGATAGATAAAGCAACTTGCTTTAGAATACACAGTCAATAAACAGCAGAGATGGAATGCAAGACGAGTTCTTTCCTTGACTGCTCTGAGTTGGAGGTTTGATGTCTACCACTTTGTACAGAAAGATAGCAAAGAACTAACAGCAGGTAGACAGGGAAAACTAGAGGCAGTAGTGGGCATAAGCCATCACTGGTGTGAGTTTCAGAGTGTGAACAACACAACAGTCTAAGAATGCCAGCACATATACACACTTTGGGACTAGCAGAATGTTTCCTTAAGTTCAACCTTTTCAGTATCACAGTAAAAACCAGAATACTGGACAGTATGAGTGCGAGAATTAGAGTAGGGACGTAACTATTTACATTGACAGAAATAACATGATCTAAATATTTTCCATACTCTTGAGAATACAGACATCTGTGTCTTGGCCTATAAAACCTAACACTTTCTTTGGTTCATAAATATAAACAGAAATCAAACTAGTCTGGAATTGAAGATTTTATGCAATTATTTGAGGTTCATCCTAGTCTTCATGGACCCTATCCTAGAATAATGTGGAAAATGTAAATAATCTACCTTTGTTTTTAATTTTATGTGCATGGGTGTTTTAGTTGCATGCATGCCTGCATACAATATGCATGCATTGCCCACAGAGGCAAGAAGAGGGCATCAAATCCCTTGAAACTGGAATTACACATAGTTATAAATCACCATGTGGGTACTGGGAATCAATTCCAGATCCTCTGAAAGAATAGTCAGTACTCTTAAACATGGAGTCATGTCTCCTGCCTACATTTTTTGAGACAGGGTACCTCTGTGTAGCCCTGGCTGTCCCAGAACTTACTCTGTAGACCAGACTGGTCTCAAACTCACAGAGATCTTCCTGCCTCTGCCTCCCAAGTGCTGAAATTAAAGATGTTCACTACCACTGCCCAGTTTCCTACCTCCATTTTATATGATGTGTTCATTTGAATAGCATGGAAAAACTTGAGATATGCCATTGTTATCATATAGCCTTAAGGGTGATACCCATGTGGCTTTATATGTACCAGGACTTAGTTCTTACATTAAGGAGTAGTCCACATGGTCCAATGAAAGACCATAAAGTAAATTACAAAAACATTCTTTGATTGCTTACTTGTCTTCCACATTGAAGAGCATGCCTCTTTCTTGAAGAGGACATAGAGTTGTATTATGAAAGAATAATATCTGGAATCAAACCAATCAATGTTTGAGTGAATTGTGTTTCCATCATGTACTAATAAATAGCCTTGAACACATCACTCCCTGAATGCTAACTCTGAGAAAATACTTAACTTTTCCAATCTGTCTTATACAAATGATATGATCTAAGCTACTAAAACCCAAACTTAGTGAGGCAAGCTAAAACATACTTTTGTGTCCAGAAGGCCTAATGCCTCTACAACTTCACTGTATCTTCAACTAGGCCATTTTATAAAACATTTCATTTTTTCACCTGATTCAAGCACTAAGCATGAAAAATGTTTCCACCACATTTGAACCAAGATAATAACCATCAATTTGCTTACCCTTACAAGTATGTGCATCTTGTCATTGACATAAAATTGCTTATATGACCAATTAATTAATCTAATTTTAACATTTCAAAAGGTATTTAAATCTGTTAATTTTTATACTTGAAATCTATTCTAAGTTGATTACATTGAACTCATTCTGTGGTTTGGAACACATCCCTGCTGATTAAAAATATCCACAAGGAAAAATCTTACAATTAAGTATGTAAGCTACATCCAACTCCCTAGGCTTCACACAGTCTTTAATACCAATTACAAATGTTTGACTCTTCAGAGAATCAAAAACATCCTACATAATTCTGTTGTCACTTACCTGTGAAAAGGAAGAAAACAAGAACCAGGATAAAGCTGTACCCAAAGTACATAAAGATATTTCCGATGCCAGTGACATTAAGTTTGGTAAAGAAGTAATGAATTGCAAAGATGAGAACATAAATAGATGTAAAACTACTGGTCAAAAAGGCTCTCCACCACCAATCACAATTCTGTGAAGACAGAAAAAATACTATGTAGGTGAAATCTTAACTATAAATGGACTAGCAATTTTTTAAATTCGAGACAGGGTTTCTCTGTGTAGCATTGTAAACCAGGCTGGCCTGGAACTCACAGAGATCCACCTGACTCTGCCTCCCAAGTACTGGGATTAAAGGCATGCACCACCACTGCCTGGCAGCAATTATTTTTATAACACAGATGGACTCTATAACTCTATTATTAATTAAAAGTAATAAAATGTAGTGGCTGGAGAAATGGTTGAGTGGTGAAGGACACTGGTTGACCTTCCAGAGGACCCAGGTTTGATTCCCAGCACCCACATGGTAGCTCACAGTTCTACCTAACTCCAGTTCTAGAAAATCTGATGCCCTCTTCTCACCTCTGCAGAAACTGCGCCCACATGGTACACAGGCATACATGCAGACAACAAAGCCCACACACATAAATAACAGAATAAAAAATGTTAAGAACATAAAAAATTTGAAGCTTCATAAGCAATGTAAACAAAGCCCATAATTATGTCATGTTTGAGATGCTCTAGCTACTGTAAACTGTTTCCAGCGATAGCATATGTGTCCTCTTAAGCATCAAGTTACAATTCATGAATGCTATTTTAAGACTGCCTCGGCCTTGGAGGCATTCAGATCAGGTTCCTTTACTGACATGAGTTATGCTTTGTCCAGTTTGGAGTCTCTGTAGTAGCCACTATCTACTGCAAAAACTAAGTCTCTCTGACCAAAGCTGGCAGTAAGACCAATCAATTGTAATAAAAATATTCAGGAGGAAATAAGTCAAGAACATTTTACCCACTAAGGAAAACAATGGCAATGGTTTCCCCACTAGGGCCAATGATATGACCAAATTGGATGTTGACTAAGTTCACTATATCAGGCATGAATTTCCTCCTGTCCAGAATATCTCAAATTCAATAAAAAATTAATTGGTTACCCCAGGAACAGACTTGCTACTATTGCACCAATGGGCATATGCCCTGCTTGGCTATTTGGTATTATAACATGAAGGGTCCATAGATTGCTGATGACAAATCTCCTTTGACAGTCTCCCTATCCTCTTTCACTACTATAAGAACCATACAACAGGGAGGGAGGTTCCAGGTCAGTTTCAGTTTGATTTATCTATGTCCTATGACCAAATGATGATCTAATAATAGTGGAAAACCAATAATAGAAGCAAGGATATATATTGTTTAGCCCTAATGTGACACCTGTATGACCACCTCTGAGTCTCAGGGGACTTGGGAATAGGGAGTAGAACAAAAAAATAACAGTCAGAGGAAGAAGCAGAGTATTGTAGAATACTTTCTACTATGCACGACATGGTCACTGGACTCTTGAACTCTCAGAAAGTGTGATTCTCAGCACCAGCCATGCATAAGACTAGGCCTACTAACATTCTATCACAGAAGGGAAGGGATCACAAGGCCCCACCCTCACCAACTATATAAACAAAGTTAATTATTGCTAGAAAAGAGAGAGGTATTTTCTTCAGTGGTATAGCCACTGGTATATCACCCATGTTCCTATAAATAACCCCTCACCCATGTTCCTCTAAGAAACCCTAACTAAACTCCATGGGTTACCAGAAAGAAAAGATATGACAGTGAAAGGAGAACTAGTTGGGAGGAAAAGTTATGACATAATATGACCAAATACATCATATAGATATAGGAAAAGTTCATAATTGGGCAGTTGTGTTGATGAGGCTTTATAATCTAAAGATTAAATATATGAGAAAAGTTCATAATGAAACTCGTTATTTAAAAAATGTTATATTATCCCTAGTGATTCCTTAGGTTAGATACAAGAAAAAGTACTACATAAATTTAAGATGGACCTTATAGCTAATGGGATTTTCTTTCACTGGCTAAATTCAGGATCTATGGTAGACATGACTGAGATCAATACGCAGCCTGGTCTTGCCATGACCCATGAACAGTGCCTTTTTCCATTGCTCACTGTGAAGTGTGTCTTTACTCTGTGATGAACTCTAGTCACACGTATATTCATGCTTGGTACCATGAGTTCTTCTGGTTAATATTTGATGTTTAAGATGCCCCAAATATTTTCTAAGAAATAAAAATATACCTATGTTATGCTTGTTTCTTTGGGCTCATTAATGATTGTTATACATTCTCTTTATGATAAAATTCACCAGAGAATTCATCAGTAGCTAAGTATAATGCATATTTAATTATATATTTACACCTATAGCTCAAGAACAAAATGTTGCAAAGCAAGAAATATTATAATCATTGTGTTAACTCTTCATTGTCACCTTCAGATAGTGACATTTAACTACAATAAGATGATGACTTATGAGATTTAACCTAACTCTAGTGCTAACCCTGAAACAATATGAGACTAAAGAGATAGCTTAGCAATTAAAAGGATGTGCACACATACACACAAATAAATAAATAAATAGGATAAATAATTTTTAAAGAGAGACAGTAAACAAACAACAATTTACTACACTACCAGTCATTCAGGTGATATCAAGGAGAAAACACTGGGGATGAAATGAAAAGTACTACTTATGGTAAGATGTTAGAAGAAGAGGACCTGCTGCAGGGACCTCAATCCCACAAAATACAATCCTGGCCGATACTGCAAAGAAACATTTAATTATATTTTTAAATCACTATACTAGATCTTTTACATGTCTAAGCTCAAATTAATCATCTACCATCATATTTTTAAACTCAAACCAGCCCCCCACTGCCATATTTTTCAATATTAAGTGAATAACAAGCAGAAATTATAGTAACCACTCAAGAGAGATTGCTTCCTTTTTAAATCTTGCCTCAAAAGTAACACTCAGTAGCTACATCAAAGTCAAAATATATCATTACAAAAGCATAATATAAAACTTATTCCAAGTAGTAAAAATCATGAAGTTACAATTTTTTCAATACACTTTTGAGCACATACTATAATTCCAATAATGTAAGTTTAGAATACTTAAGTGCCATTAATATCTATGTTTTTACCTCAGCAGACAGTCGAAAATAGCATAGCAGAACCGTAACTTCTGAACAGGAAATAACAAGAATTAAAAAGACCAGGAAAAGGAAGGCAAATATGTAGTACATATGAGGAGACCTAAAAACAAGCACAAGTTTTTAAATTTTTAAATTACATAGATAAAGATTAGTCCAAATCTATACAAAAGACTATCACACAACTCTCTGATTTTTCTTCTCTCTATCTCCTTCCCCCTCCCCTCTTCCCATTCTTTGAAATATGGTCTCTCTACATAACTCTGGCTGTCCTGGAACTTACTATGTGGGCTAGATCACAGAGATCCACCTGCTTCTGCCTCCCAAGCGCTGGGATTAAAGGTATGCACCATCATGGCTGCCCAGCCTTTAAACTATTTATTTCAAGCCTCCATCCATCCATATAGCATGAAAGAAATCTCTTGCTAACATAGTTTTATATTTGAGCCAAATCTTCTCTAGTTACAAGTACAGTCACTTATTATCCATGTTTATCTGTTTACATAACTAAGTTCTCACTTGGGACACATCATTATCTCATTATCTCTATACACATTTAAACTGTCATTTTAGAAATGAACGATTTTTTTTTTGGTTTTTTACGAGACAGGGTTTCTCTGTATTGTTTCGGAGGCTATTGGTCCAGCCTGGCCTCGAACGCACAAAGATCCGCCTGCCTCTGCCTCCCGAGTGCTGGGATTAAAGGCGTGCGCCACCACCGCCCAGCTAGAAATGAACGATTTTTAAATGCCATAAATATATTATATTCCAGAAAATGACACTCAAATATGCCTTTGCTTTTGAAGCTCTAAAGAGGCCTCTCTAACTATGTCTTCATAGTGTGGCACAGAAAATTCTATTAACTAATCTTTCAAGCATGCATTTTTTATCAAATTTTTAAAATTTATTTTACGTACCAAGCAGTTTCCTCTCCCTCCTCTCCTCCCATTCCCTCCCCCACCTCCTTTCTTCTGCCCCCTCCATCAACTCTTCAAAAAGGGTAAGTACTCCCATGGGAGTCAACAAAGATCCTCCTGCATAGTGGAGAGGGTGCCTAAACTTGCCTTTCCCTGTAGTCACAGAATCGTCACCTAGTAACTATTGGAAATTGATGCAGAGATCCACAGCCAAGCACTGGGCTGAGCTATGGGAGTCCAGTCGAAGGGAAGGAGGAGGGATTATATGAGCATGGGGAGGGAGGGTGTCAAGATCATGCCAGGGGAACCCACAGTGCAAACATGCATCTCTTAAAATATGTATGTGGGTTGTATTTAGGGCAAACTAAAAGAAATAAATGACTCCCTTTCTTATTATAAAGCTGAGCTGATTACATTTTTAAAGCCCCTGAAGCCAAGCATCATGGTACATGCCTGGAATCTCAATCGCTCAGGAAGCTAAGATATGAGGATGGCAAACTCAAGACCAGTTTATGTAACTTAGTAAGGCTGACTCAAAAGTAAAAAATAGCGGACTATGGATAAAATTCAGTGACGGAGCTCCTGCATTGAACACATAAAGTCCTAGTTCCAGTATCCAGTACAATTAAATTAATTTTTAAAACTGAGAATATTGAAAAAATATTAAATTAATAAATAATTTTAAGTATAATATGAAGTATATATTTGGGTATGAGGATAAGGAGCAGAGTTAAGGAGAAATGTTCTATAATTAACAAACATGTACAAATTGTACATATTCCTTTTTCAACATACAAAGTACTGATTCTCATTTTGACACCTTCTTTGACAAATTTTTTTTTCTGAAGTTGAACTTAGGGTCTTGGAAATGTTAAGCAGACACTCTCCCACTGAACCATATAAGCAATCTGACAGCCTCGGATTTTACTGTTTCCCTTTCAAACCAATTTGTCACAATACTAATTCAAAAGTAAGTCCTTATCATGGACATGACTAAATCCAAGTTTTGAGGACTTAAAAGATTTGTTTGAGCTGACCAGACAAAGGTTAACTCTTGAATCCCAGGCATCAGCCTGGGAATCCAGCATGGGACTGATCAAGACCCCCTGAATCTGGGTGTCAGTGAGGAGGCCTAGGTAAACTATTGAGCCTTGGACAGCAGATCAGTACCCATCCCAAGTATACACACGGACTTTGGACTCCCATAGAACAATGTGAGGTGCACTCTCACCCTGAACTCTTGGGGAAGGGTCTAGGCCCTGCCCTATATGAAATGACAGACTATGGACACCCCCATGGAGGACCTCACCCTCCCTGGGGGAATGAGGGGATAACGGGGGGGGGGTTGGGGGAAGGGCACGGGAGGAGGGGAGGGAAAGGGAGAGGGACCTGGAACTGACTTGTGAAGCAACCTCGTTTCTTATCTAAATTTAAACTGGAAAATAAAATTTGAAAAAAATGAAGAAAAAAAAAGGATTTGTTTGAGCCAGGCATGGTGGCACACACCTTTGATTCCAGCTATTGAGAGGCAGAGACAGGAGGATCTATGAGTTCTGTGCCAGTATGGTCTACAGCTGGTATACAGATTGAGTTCAAGGACAGATTTGTTTGAAAGACTACTATGGTAAAAGAAAAATATAAAAAACAGTACAGTAACTGGACTTTACTTCTTTTTTAAAGCTAATGTTTTAAAAATATTACTCTGTGTGGGGGGTGTGGGTGTGGGTGTATGTGTGTGGGTGTATGTGTGTGGGTGTATGTGTGTGGGTGTGGGTGTGTACACCTAGGCACAGACAAAAAGCGGCTGTTAGAGCCAGTGTAGCTGGAACTATGAGCTGTCTAATGTGGGTGCTGGAAACAAAATCCAGGACCTCGGGAAGAGTAAGCACCCACAACCACTGCCACTCCAGTACTGGCTTTTTACTTCTTATTGCCTTTGTCCATCTCCAAACTTCTCCATAGCAATAAGACAGCTAAGAACCAGAAAGTAAGAAAGGGGCAAAGCCAGTGTGACGCACGCCTTTAATCCCAGCACTCAGGAGGCAGAGGCAGGCAGATCTCTGTGAGTTCCTACAGAACAGCTAATACTACACAAAGAAAAGCTACCTTGAAAAAAGGAAGGGGAGATACAGAACAAATGTAAGTGTTAACATAGCACTAAAGGCCTTGCATGTATTTTTGGAGGCAGGGTCTTTCTAGATGTAGCCCAGGCTGGACTTGTCCCAAGCTCTTCCTGCCTCAGCCTCATGAATCATTGGATTGGCAGGGTTTCCAGGCAGTTGCCATCACACAGTATAGAATCCAGGGCTTTGTGCATCCTAAGCAAGCACTCTACTACTAAGCTACGGCCCCAGCTGCAGCTATCATGCTTTTAAACAGAAAGCACAATTACTTATTTTGCAAATACATACAAAAATCACATTATTATAATCCTTAAATCACAACAGATTAAAAGTAGCAAATAAAACCGTATAAAAAGCAGGCATTCTGATGCAAGAACTGACAGGCAGAAAACAGAAAGGGACTATGTACAGGTCAGTACACATGAAAACTCAAAACCCAATAAAGTTCATAGTCTTCACATCAATTTTAGCAGAAGAACTCTAAATAAATATTGCTTTGGCAGGCCAACATAAAAACATAAAAATCATGTCTCTCCTTTCATTATTTAGGTACCTCCCACCTTAGGGTCTCCACACCCCCAACCTCCCACAAGGTTCAGTTACAGCCATGCTTCTCTGAGTCATGTAAAACAGCTTACCAAGAGGGTAATTTTAAATTATAACTTATTGTGTGTGTGTCTATATGTGTGGGTACATGCACGCCACTGCACATGTATGGAGGTCATAGGATTATTTGTAGGAGTCAATTCCTCCTTCCACACTGTGAGTTCCATGGATCAAACTGAGGTGGTCAAGCATGGCAGCAATACTCACATTCACTGAGCAATCTCAGTGGCCTCTATTATTTTTTATGCATGTGGTATTCGTTTAAGTATATGCTGTGTGTGTGTGTGTGTGTGTGCGCGCGCATGTGCGCGCGCCCATGCCCACAAAGGCTAGAAGTGTGTGTCAGATTTACTGAAAGGGGAGTTACAGGAAGTTGTGAGTCACCTGACATAGGTACTGGGGATTGAATTAGATCCTTTTGAAGAGCAGCAAGTACTCTTTTTTTTTTTTTTCGTTTTTCGAGACAGGGTTTCTCTGTATAGTTTTGGAGCCTGTCCTGGAACTCGCTCGGTAGACCAGGCTTGGTCTCGAACTCACAGAGATCCGCCTGCCTCTGCCTCCCGAGTGCTGGGATTAAAGGCGTGTGCCACACCGCCCGAAGGCAGCAAGTACTCTTAACTGTTGATCCATCATTACAGATCCCAATCCCTGGTTATTAATTTTTAAGTAGTCTTTATAAAGAATTTCATAGAGTCATATTGTTTTGCTTTCTTTTTGTTTTTCAAGATAGGGTTTTTCTGTGTAGCTTTGGAGGCTGTCCTGGAACTAACTAGGTCTTGTAGACCAAGCTGGTCTCGAACTCACAGAGATCTGCCTGCCTCTGCCTCCCAAGTGCTGGGATTAAAGGCATGTGTCACCACCACCTGGCTACCGTCAACAATTTTACTTGGCATGAATAAAGTCCTATGTTCAATCCTACCAACATAAAATTTCTAGTCTATAAAATATGTATATTACTATAAACTAAAGACACTTTACTGTACTGTAGAACATTAGAACTTATTTTTAATTTAATTTTGGTACCCATTATCCATATACCTTGATTTTATCTTTGAAAATTGCATACAAGTACTGAGCTATTATACTATTACTGAACTGTTACTATATAAATATGCACTGTTATTGTGTATTAAACTACACTTTAGTTTATTGATATGTGATACTCACCAAATATGGTTTAGAATGTAAGAAAGTTGCAAAAAAATACAGCCAAAGGGTACAAGACTGCCAAATATAACTGTAATTGTTGATTTTGCAAAGAAACTTCTTTGGGGACTCACACGAGGGGTCTGCCGTGCATGAACCGGAAACTCAAACTGTTAAAAAAATATATATGAAGCAACATGATTGGATGAAACAAATCCACAGTCATAATGACAATTCAATACAGAATCCTGAATCGGAACAACACATAAATATCATGTGGGCTAGGACGAGATCACCACCACGCAATAAAAGTATGATGTAAACAGGGATATGATTCCCTCTCTCTCTCTCTCTCTCTCTCTCTCTCTCTCTCTCTCTCTCACACACACACACACACACACACACACACAGTTTTTATGGATTTTAGTAGTTACAGTAACTTTTTAGTAATTTTTTATAAAAAGTAACTGGTAAAATAATTTTAATAGTATATTTTATTTTATATAAGAATATTATCAATTGAAGTCAGGTGTGGTGATTTACACACAGGCATGGTGCCACCAAACCCCATTTTTGCTAGAAATTGAACCCAGGACTTCCTGCATGGTAGCCAAACACTCTATCAACTGGTCTGCAGACCTGAGTATTTACCTTCCCAAGTACGTTCTAAAGGATATTTTTAAAAAGATTTGCTTGTGACTATTCGAACATGAAATAGACATGTTTAAAAGCTTCCTCCAGATACCATAATAAAGGGAGTCATTCTAGGTTTGAGGGGAGATATGGCACTAGTGAGGTTTCCAGAGATCTACAAGGATTACACCAACTGGCAAACTAAGCAATAGTGGAGAGACTACCTTAAATGCCCCTCCCTGATAATGAGTTTGATAACTAACTTATATACCATCCTAGAGCCTCCATCCAGTGACTGATGGAAGCAGAGGCAGACACCCACAGCTAAACACTGAACTGAACTCCTGGAACCCAGTGACAGAGAGGGAGGAGCAATGAGCAAAGGGGTCAAGACTGGTGAAACCCACAGAGACAGCTGACTTGACAAGGGGGAGTTCATGGACCCCAGACTGACAGCTAAGAGGCCAGCATGGGACTGATGCAGACCCTCCGAATGTGGGTGTCAGTAAGGAGGCCTCGGCAATCTATGAGGCTTTGGGTAGTAGATCAGTATTTATCCCTGGCACACAAACGAACTTTGGGCACTCATCCCACAATGAGAGATGCTCTCTCAATCTGGACACTTGGGGGAGGGCCTAGGCCCTCCTGGGAACGAAAAGACAGACTCTAGAGACCCCCCATGGAGGGCCTTACCCTTGCTGGGGAACAGAGTGGGGACTGGATAGGGGGCTGGGGGTTGGTGGGGGGAAGCAGGCATGGAGGGGAGGGAGAGGGAGCTGGGACTAACATGGGAAGCAAGCTTGTTTCTAATTTAAATATATAATAAAAATTGTAAAAGCTCCCTCCAAATTTACCAAAACATTGATATTTTAGATAAATTTATCAATGAATTTGTCAACGTTGCTCATTTTTTTCTTTTTCCTCCTTTCTATAGAAGTCCATTTCCCATTTCATTGGGATTTTTGCTGTTTGTTTGGTTATTTTACTTTCCCCCTGCAATCTCAAACTAGTTTTGTACAGTCCTCTTGCAGAATAGTCACACTTAGTCTTTTGAGGGCATTTGTTCCTTTTCTCCTATACATAGGATTAGGCTAACTTCAAATCTGTAACTGAACATCCCATTTGCCAATTGTATCTTTGCTCTCTTCTCCCACTGTAAAAATATTTACTTTCCGCGGTAGTTGATGTAGGCTTTTATATAATATCCACTTTTTATTTTGTCCATTAGAGATAAAAAGAAATGCAGATACCCTATGGTGTGGGAAGTATATTAAACAGCATCTTTTAAAGTGTCACTGTCTTTTACTTACTTATTTTTATAACTCCAATTCAAAAATGATTATACTGTTTTCAGTGGTATTTTGTATTTTATTTATAGCATATACACAGTAAGATATACCAGGCATCATTCAAAAGTCAAAAGCAGTATTCTGAAAGTTTACCTTTTGCTTTTTCCCAAAGTATATTCCCAAATATGTTAATGGTGTTGAAACTCCAAAGGAAAATGCAAACAGACTTGCCAATATATTAAAAGACACTGCAGCTGATGACCCTTCCATCCAAAGAATTAGATTCATAATAAGGATAACAGTGAAGAAAATTCTGAGGAAGGGGGTAAAGAATACCATTACACAATATACTTCCAGGAAAATATCATAGACTCATGTAATGCAAATGTCAGCATGCCCTTTTGGTGAGAATAATTAGTTACAATGTTAAACCATAGAAACATTATATCACAGTGCACAAATTGGTCCTTGAGCTGAGATTTAAACATGGTATCATGTAACAGCATTTGTTATAGGATATGATTTACAAATCCTCTCATCTTTACATCTTCAAAATCTAGCAGAAACTAAGTAGGGTATGGATTAATATACCAATATACAATATAACGAACCCAATGAAGAAACAACATATATGGAAAAACAGATTTTTGGAACCTAGACTGAAATGAACTAGTTACATTACTGGGCAATACTAGCTATGTCTCTACTTGTTCTAGATAAATTTGTGTAAGTGTCAGTGTGGGAATGACTATGATTGTTTTAGAATACCTAAAATACAAAGTTGGAAAAACGTAAACAGAGACAAACGGAAGTCTCTGAACGTTAAGGAAAACAGACTTTATTCCATCAAAATCAAGGATTAATTCAAAACATATTAATTCCATGTAAATATTCTCCTACTTTCAAGAGTTCTTTCTTACTTCTCTTTAATCTATGTTTGCCCTGCTCAAAAATAAAAAAAAAATAAAAATGAGCTGAAGAGGTTTAAATTCCAATTTGTTATAATTAAATGCAATTTCTCTGGGAGGGGTCAACCTATGGGAAAATGAAAAAAGAAAGGAGTCAAAACTAGAATGAGTCTGTATAATGTGGTCGTTAAAACATAAAAGGAATTGTCATAAACAATATAAAGGCCTAGCTAACAGGAGTCTGACTAAAGGTGGCATATTTAACTCATGCATTTGGATCTGCTTCCTTTTCAAAACCCTGATAAAATTATAGTAAAGGGATTATAATAAAACACAATTGAAAAAGTTTAGATGATATAGGGAAGAAAAACTTTGAAACAAATTTTAACTCTAGATAGTGGCTGGATAGATAGTAACTAAGTCAATATATCTGAGAAAGCTGCCTTCCAAACCTCACAGCAGGGAAAGCTGAAAGGCAACTGAATTTCTATTGAGGGTTCCAAAAAGGCTAAGGAATGTTCAGAGGCCAAGTCCATCTGTAAGTATGCGAAGAAAGGAGACCTATGAAAGTTAGCCTAAGAAGCTAAGAAGCCTACAAATTCCCATCCCCACCAGTCATAGTCCAGTAACTTCTGTCCCCTACCTCAGCAAAAGACTGTCTACTATCTCAGGAAGAATCCTTCAAACTCAAACTTTAAAATCTATCAGAAGGCATCCTTGGAGCAATTAGCAGAGAGATTACAACCATAAAACAAGAAGAGGAGCCGGGTGTTGGTATTGCACACCTTTAATCCCAGCACTCGGGAGGCAGAGGCAGGCGGATCTCTGTGAGTTCGAGGCCAGCCTGGTCTACAGAGCTAGTTCCAGGACAGCCTCCAAAACAATACAGAGAAACCCTGTCTCTAAAAACAAAAAAAAAACAAGAAGAGGAAATTGTAAAGACTTTTGAGGTAATAAACGCACTTTTGGGAGTTAAAAATATGGCAAGAGGAATTAAAACCTCAATAAAATGGTTGAGATAGATCTGATAAAAAGTCTTAAAAGCAGCACAGAAGAACAGCAAAAAACATAACAAGAGGACAATACCACAAACAAAACATGAGATGAGTAAGCAAGAGTGATGGGATTAAAAGTGTGTGCCACCAAGCCAGGCTCATAACAGGCTCTTTCTACGGACCTTGGCTGAAATAAATGTCTGCCTTTGACTAGCCTTTGAAAATATCTCTATAACAAGGTAACTATGCCTGAACTCTCCTAGCAATCACATGTATCACCAGAGAGAGGGAACATGTTAACAGTCACCCCATGATACATGGCCAGTTAAACACTGATTCTACTTTTCAGGAAATAACTCTTCCATTTTATGTTCTCTCAAGGTCCATTCCAAAATTAGAATTCTAATGTTGCCTTCCCATTTGCTATGTCTTTTCAATGCCTAATTCAGGAACACTGCACTCTTCTTCAATTATAAGTTACTTGGACATTTTAAAACCAATTTACACTAGTCTAAGGATGCAGTTTAGGTAGTAAGAGCCTGAGGTTTGGTGGAAAGAGAAGCAGTCTGGAGATGCAGTCTGAGGACAGGATGTCCCCTTTGGTCTGAGCATTGGTAGATGTGAGAACTCTTAAGTGGCTGGCCGCTTTGCTTCTCTATCTTCAGTTTTAACCTCAATATCTGTCTCTGCATTTATATTATTAAGACCAACAAAAATTTGTGTTACAAGCGACAGTCTGTAGAATGGAACAAAATCTTTTCCAAATATTCAACTGACAGGAATATATATATATGCATATATATATTATAAAAATTAAATCAAAAGACCAGATAATCCTTCTAACAATGACAATGGAGATCTTCATATACTTTTATTTTCTCCTTTTTTTTATAAAAGCATTTTAGGGTTACAGTTTTGCTAGGCAGCCATATGCATAGTAACCAAAGTATACAATAATCCCAAGTGCCCATAAGCAGATGAATGAGCATAACTGTAGTATTTTATCCAGACATAAAGAAAAATAAAATTATATTGTCAGGATGAAGATCAACATGTTAAGTGAAAAAGTCTGTTCCACAAAGACAAGTATGTTTTCTTTCATATAAGGAAGGGAAGGAACAGAGATGAATATACAAGATACATAGACAGAAAATAAAAGTGACAAGTGTAAATCCTGATTAATACTATGTTAAATGTATACTAATACCATAACTTAAAGAGAGACTATGTCAAGAGTAGAGGAGGAACAATAGGAGGAGAACATTTTGAAGAAGAGAAAGGAAGGGGACCAAGAAGCAAAGACTTAACTAAGGGACAGGTTCATATTCAGTCACCAGGAGGAAAAAAGAAGGAAGTTAAGAGAATGTTTCACCAATGGAACCAGTATTTATCCCTGGTGCACAAATGGACTTTGGGAGCCCATTCCCTATGGAGGGATACTATTTCAGCCTAGATACACAGAGGAGGGCCTAGGCCCTCCCCCAAATGATATGACAGACTTTGATGATCCCTCATGTAAGGCCTCACTATCCTTGGGGAGTGGGAGGGGTTGGGTTGGGGGAGGTCCGTGGGGGGCATGGGAAGATGGGAGGGAGACAGACTGGGGGAATGGATATGTAAAATAAGAGTTATTCTAAATAAAAAATATAAAAAAGAGAAAATGTTTTACAAGATGGAGCTGCATCTTAGGGATAGAGTATCTGCCTCACATACCCAAGGGTTTGAGTTACATTCCCAACATTAAAAAACAAACAAACAGGAGGCCTAGGCAATCTATGGGGTCTTGGGTAGTAGATCAGTATTTATCCCTGCATACAAATGGATTTTGGGTGCCCATCCCACAAAGAGGGATGATCTCTCAGCCTGGACTCTTGGGGAAGGGCCTAGGCACTGTCCTGGATGAAACTGACAGACTCTGGAGATCCCTCATGGAGAGCCTCACCCTCCCTAGGGAACAGAGTGGGGACTGGGTGGACTGGGGGAGCGGGGTAAGAGGGGAGGGCGAGGGAGCTGGGATTGACATGGGAAGCAAGTTTGATTCTAATTTAAATTTAAAAAAATATGTTTGAAAAAAAATGAAAACTGTCTTTCTGAAAAGAGACAAAACCTGCAAATACTAAAGGGAATTGAATATAAAAAAATAAAAATGCAGGGTTGGAGAGATAGCTTGGAGTTTAAGAGCACTGACTTCTCTTCCAGAGGACCTAGGTTTGATGCCCAGCACCTACGTGGCAGCTAACAACCAGCTGCAATTCTGGTTCCAAGGGATCTGACACCCTTTTCTGCCCTCCTTAGGCAGGACACACCTGTAGTGCACAGGGTTATATGTTGTAAAACATACACACACATATAAAATAACAAAAATGCTTGCGAAGGGAAGATTAGTAAGACAGGAATATAAAAAGTGGGCAAGGAAAAGAACAAACAGGAGTTCAAAAATATCTATTTTAAAGAAATATGCTAAAAAGCTAACATGAAGTGATATTTGGCAAAACATAATTTATAATTATTATAAAATGTTTAACAATGTAGTGACCACACATGTATAAGTAGCATTGTGTGGTGTAGTGACTTTTCAGCAGTACTGCTTGGGCATAAATTCTGTCCATGCTCCCATAGATGGCCCTACACTAAGACACATACATTCAACACTAATTGTAATCAGTGGGTAATAAAGAAAAAGAGAAAGTATGACCTTGGGAGGGTGACATAAAAAATATGGGAGAAGTTGGAAGGAGGAAAGGAATGGATATCATCCAAATACATTGTATCCATGCATGAAATTCTTGATAGACACATAAGATAGAAATTTGAAACCATTTGTTTGGGGGATGCACAGATGCTTAGCAGTTAGTAGTGCTTCCTGAGCTGGGTTGTGGTGCTGTATACCTGTAAGCCCACCAGTTGGGAGGCAGAGACATGAAGATATTTTCAAGCTTGAGGCCAACCTGGTTCACATAAGCGAGTTCTGTGCCGGCCAAGGCTATAAAGCGAGACTCTGTCTCACTAATGCTAAGGAGCTCCAAACAAACCTGTCTGTATAGAGTGAGCACTAGGTAAGTCATGGTAAGACCTTGTCTCAAAATCTAAAAATAAAAAATAAAGGGCCAATGGCCTGACTCCTCCAGTAAAAGTGACTGCTGCACAAACCTGATGACCCAAGTTCATTCCCTGGATTCCACACTGGAAAGAGAGAACCAACTCCCAAAAGTTTTCCTCTGACCACACTCACGCTGTAACACAAGCATACCCACACTTACACACACACACACACACACACACACATTTACACAGTTGTGTGGTGGGTACATATACTCACATGCATATGTATGCAACCACAAATAATTTAAAATTAAAGAAATAAAAATGTAAAAATAGAACAGATAAAAAGGAGTGATTCCTGTTCTTCA